ATTTTGTCGATAGCATTAAAAATAATTGTCCAAAACTAGAGTGGCATACCTCGTTGAATTCGTAACGAAATTCCCTATCGACCTGTGTTCAAACCAGAAAATTTTATTTTTTTTGCCATTTTTCGCAAATTTTGATGATGGTATTTGAAAATGCAAAAATTTGTAAATTTTTGTTTAGGTGAAAAATAATCAGTATTTTGTCGATAGCATTAAAAATAATTGTCCAAAACTAGAGTGGCATACCTCGTTGAATTCGTAACGAAATTCCCTATCGACCTGTGTTCAAACCAGAAAATTTTATTTTTTTGCCATTTTTCGCAAATTTTGATGATGGTATTTAAAAATGCTAAAATTTGTAAATTTTTGATTAGGTGAAAAATAATCAGTATTTTGTCGATAGCATTAAAAATAATTGTCCAAAACTAGAGTGGCATACCTCGTTGAATTCGTAACGAAATTCCCTATCGACCTGTGTTCAAACCAGAAAATTTTATTTTTTTGCCATTTTTCGCAAATTTTGATGATGGTATTTGAAAATGCTAAAATTTGTAAATTTTTGATTAGGTGAAAAATAATCAGTATTTTGTCGATAGCATTAAAAATAATTGTCCAAAACTAGAGTGGCATACCTCGTTGAATTCGTAACGAAATTCCCTATCGACCTGTGTTCAAACCAGAAAATTTTATTTTTTTGCCATTTTTCGCAAATTTTGATGATGGTATTTGAAAATGCAAAAATTTGTAAATTTTTGTTTAGGTGAAAAATAATCAGTATTTTGTCGATAGCATTAAAAATAATTGTCCAAAACTAGAGTGGCATACCTCGTTGAATTCGTAACGAAATTCCCTATCGACCTGTGTTCAAACCAGAAAATTTTATTTTTTTGCCATTTTTCGCAAATTTTGATGATGGTATTTGAAAATGCAAAAATTTGTAAATTTTTGTTTAGGTGAAAAATAATCAGTATTTTGTCGATAGCATTAAAAATAATTGTCCAAAACTAGAGTGGCATACTTCGTTGAATTCGTAACGAAATTCCCTATCGACCTGTGTTCAAACCAGAAAATTTTATTTTTTTGCCATTTTTCGCAAATTTTGATGATGGTATTTGAAAATGCAAAAATTTGTAAATTTTTGATTAGGTGAAAAATAATCAGTATTTTGTCGATAGCATTAAAAATAATTGTCCAAAACTGGAGTGGCATACCTCGTTGAATTCGTAACGAAAATCCCTATCGACCTGTGTTCAAACCAGAAAATTTTATTTTTTTGCCATTTTTCGCAAATTTTGATGATGGTATTTGAAAATGCAAAAATTTGTAAATTTTTGTTTAGGTGAAAAATAATCAGTATTTTGTCGATAGCATTAAAAATAATTGTCCAAAACTAGAGTGGCATACCTCGTTGAATTCGTAACGAAATTCCCTATCGACCTGTGTTCAAACCAGAAAATTTTATTTTTTTTGCCATTTTTCGCAAATTTTGATGATGGTATTTGAAAATGCAAAAATTTGTAAATTTTTGTTTAGGTGAAAAATAATCAGTATTTTGTCGATAGCATTAAAAATAATTGTCCAAAACTAGAGTGGCATACCTCGTTGAATTCGTAACGAAATTCCCTATCGACCTGTGTTCAAACCAGAAAATTTTATTTTTTTGCCATTTTTCGCAAATTTTGATGATGGTATTTGAAAATGCAAAAATTTGTAAATTTTTGTTTAGGTGAAAAATAATCAGTATTTTGTCGATAGCATTAAAAATAATTGTCCAAAACTAGAGTGGCATACCTCGTTGAATTCGTAACAAAATTCCCTATCGACCTGTATTTGTTGTAAAGAAACATTTCTTTTCTTTGCGAATGCAAATGTTTCACATTTCGGGGAATTTCACGTAATTTTGCCAATGTAAATATCATTTTCCAAAATCAACCGCAAAATCAGCCAATGAATTGAATTTGTTTTAATGAATTTTCCATGTAAATGGCCTCTTTTCGCACACTCTTAACTTCTGAAGTGGCAACTAATCCCGGGCTTTAAGGGGCGAATTCAGTTGGCGGAACGACAGTAAACAAGAATGTTTTCGATTTCGAAAAATATTTGCATTTAAAACATATTAAGATGTGCGGTTTTTTTTCGATTATCATTTTTGCTTGGCTGGCAGTTCACAAATCATTTGTTTACATGCTCTCGTCCTTGTTTTCCCACTTGTATTTTTTTTTTATTTTGTCCTTACGCTTAAGTGATGTCAATCAATTAAATTTACACACCAGGAAAAAAGAACACAAATATAAAAGAGAACAGAGGCTGTGGAAAGCCAGTGGCTGCGCTTTTATACATTTTTCATGATACTCGCGTGTGTCCCTCTCTCGTTTTTCCCGCCCCTCCGATTTTTCCTCGGCGGAAAAGCTTCAGCAAAATTTGTAAACGTGTTTATCTTGTTTCGCTCCTGTCCTTTTGGTCTCCGCGTGTGTGTGTGTCTAAAGTAAGCTTATGAGTGGTTAGATGGGCGGTAAAGTGTGTGGAAAAGTGGGCGGGGCAGCTGGATAAGCTGGGGGTAAAAGGAGAACTGGGGATCCCAGACAGCACAATAACATTTGCATTTGTCTGAGGTGTAATTCCTAAGCTTTATGGCAAACATTATTATTACTGCCGGAATTGTAGCATTTCATTTAGTCAACTTTTAAGAGCAAATGAAAGCAGCCAGCTAAATGTTTATGGCTCCACTGATTAGTCCGGAAAACAACTGTGGCATTTCAGAGACCTCTCGAAATTAAAATACGAAAATGTCTTCTACATGTTATTTGGGGACCTCTGAGTCTATTATGTTTTCTCATATTAAAGGTGGGAAATTGTAGGAAATCAAAGCAAAAATTTTAAAGTCGCAAATAGCCTTGTGAATATATACTATATATATCAGGAAATGTATGGGTATATTAGTTTATTAATAATTTCCCTGTTGGAACGCCAACTTACATCTTTGCACAAATTTGAAATTCAGAATGATTCCTAATTACCCAGAAGTTGCACGCCATTCAACCTTTTGCGTACCAATTTGCCAATGTCCTCGGCAGAGAATGAAAATGTGTCTTTTCCTATCTTGGAAAATTGCACCTCAAAGGGCACAGAATTTTCGAAATATTTTCCCGCACAGAGGGGCCATTTGTGAGTCCCTTTCCGAAGGGGGAAAGATATGAGTCGGACTTTATGAACCCGGCGACGGGCTCTTTCGGTTTATATACGCTCTTTAGAGTATGGGGGCTACGCATTTGGGGGCAGAGGGGTTGGCTCCAGAGAAGGGGCTAAAAAGTGGTCAAAGCCTTCGAGTCAAGTGCTTATCAGTTGGTGGAGGGGGTGGAGGGGAAAGGGGTTGGGGCGAAACAACTTGACTGACTGCACTTTATGGTTCATTTTGCATGCCTCAGATGAGTCGAGGCCTGGACCCCGGAACCTAGACAAAACAAGAAAGGAGCAAAAATCCAAAGGTTTCAGTTACATATAAGCCATCGCCTTTCCTTAGCTTCTTGCCAGCATCCACACAGCCCCTGGTGACTATGCGTTTTGGTATTTTTACTGCGTTCCCATTTGCGAGACAGAGAATTTTGAGTTGCTTTTTCATTTTTAATGCCGCATCTTGGTCGCTTGGACAATGTTTGCTAGGGAGATGGGAGAAGGTGCTGGGGGAGGGGGGAGGTGCTCTGCAGGACTTCAGGACTTCTGTGTGCCTGCCTGTGTCCTTGCCTGCAGCGTTAAATTCTTGTTAAAATATTATGAACAACTTTTTGCACCATTCTTTTTATGCTTTAAAAGGAATCTAGCCAAAGAAATCTCTACCCCTAGGCCTCTCAGATTTTTACGAATTTTTTCCGAATTTTTTGGTTGCCAAGGTTGGTCAAGTGGCAAGAAAGAGCTTTAAATGATACCATATCAATGCTCCTCTGTAGCTTTTATCAATTTGTAAAAATAAATGTAATAATTTATTATTCTTCTCCTTCCGAATAAAATCTATTTGTATTTTCCTAAATGCGTGTATACATTGATATGTTTTTCGAAACGGTGGGTGAATATTTATAGGATTTAATACCATTCCCACCCCCCGAAACATTTCGTAAGACATCCTCGCTTTTGTACTTCAAGAATTTTTCAGTGCAATTAAATAAATTTCTTTGGGGGAGACAGTTGAAGTGCGCAATTATTTCAGTTGATTTCACCTGAATTGACGCGACTGCCGTTTGCTTTGAGTGAGGTCCTTAACCAAACACTTAATGGCGACCGCCCATGCATTTTGTACCGCCTGCTCAAGGCCCCCGAATTTCACCCACGATTCACGGCCATGTCGCACCTAATTAGGCCAATTAAATTTAGCTGCAAATTACACACGTTAAATGTGTAAATTGGGCGGCCAACTGAAATTGAAATTAAATGCATGTCGCATGTCGCATGTGGCGCATCGCGTGCTAAAGCCAGATATCAACTGGATTTTGATTTGGATTTGGTTTCGGTTTAAACGGATGCACTACTGCGAAGGGACACTTAATTCGCTGGCAAAGTGGCGAGTGCAATAGTGTCACGTAAACAATCGGATTAATTCCCGTGGCTTAGTCATTAAAGTGAGTTTTCAAGTGGCCAGCAATAAAAATGAAACTCTATATACAATTACTGTACGTCAATTACCAATTTGTACACTTGATTAGGATTTAATAACTATATTGTAATGAAACCGGGATCCCTTTAAATCTGGCACTCCAGTCTCACCTGTACCCTTAAGATTTTTCGTTTTTCTCTTCTTTTTTTTAGAATCATTTTGGGTCTCATCAGTGCCGCTGGACTAGTGAATTTGAACTGTCTCCGGATGTAGAGCTTCATCAGAAGGAAAGGGGAAAACGTGCAAAAATCCCGAGCCCAATTAAACGTCTCTTTTGGAGAAAACTCGCACTTTCGAAGTTGATTTTAATTCAATTACCGGCTTCTTGATTCAATTTCCGCATCCAGTAGCAACTCACCTGATTTGATTCCTCGAAATCGTTGGACAGTGTTAAACTTAAAAAAAAAATGGTAAGCCCGGAAAACACTTTGCAAAACGTGGGCACAAGAAATATTTTAGACGGTTTTTGGCTTCACTTTAAGCTTGCTTAAGTATTTTGTCTCCCTTTGCTTGTTTATATTTTAGGGATGCATTTTTGTTTATTATTTAAAGCACATAAAAAAAAGTCAAGAAAAATTGTGAACTGCTAAGATATTTTTGGAAAAAATTACGATTTTGCACATGGATTTGTCCGTATTAAAATGATATCCTTAGCCCGATTCCGTAGGGTCCTTTGCAGTCCGCCACACAACCGTCGGTCAGGACATTCGCCAGCGAACTACGCGCCATCCAAATCGAAACAGTCGCAAGTGGGCGCAAAACCAAAACACATGACGAAGATTCAGCCGAAGGACCCGAAGGATGTGACTCGAGTTGAGCGTTATGGAGCATTGCCGCCTACGGAAAACACTCGGCATATTTCTGAACTTTTGTACTATTATTTTTCTATAAAATATTATCGTACTCGGCACCACAGAAAAAGAAGGAGTACAGGTTTTATATATATTTTTTATAAATTATTATTATAGAAAATTATGGAACCAGCATTTCAACTTGTTCAAACAATATAAAATACTTTAATATACTTTATATACATATTTGTATATTTTGCTTAAATATTTTTGGCTTAAAATGTAAAATTTAACTTATTTCAATAAATATTTATTAAAAATAAACCGTGCTTTAAAATCTATTAATAATATTTAATACGTTTTTTTTTTATATACCGAATTGGTGAACTCCTTTCAGTGTTCTTACTAAAATCGAAAGGAACGCAACAGGCGCGCATGCAAATTCCCAAAGGAGCAAAAAATATTTGTAAACAAAGCGGCTTCGTTTGAGAGCCGAAAGCTATTTTGAGCGCAAAATCGGAAAACCCGAGCTCCGAATAAGCCGCTTGCTAAAGTGAAACTCAAATTTGAGTGACTTTTCCCCGTGAAAGAGAGTGGATCTAAAACAGTTTTGTTTTAAGTGTAAACCTTTGCCTGAATTAAGTATTTCTTTGTAATTTTGTTGTGCTCTTTCGCAATTTATATAATTTGTAAAATATAAACCAGAATTTGCGTATTTTTTCATTTACATTTTCCGTTTGGCGCCCAAGCGGTGGTACTTTTTGAATTGGCAGCGCGAGCGAAATATCGATAAGTATGAGCGTGATATCTTCAGAATTTGAGTGACTTTTCCTTGTGAGTGAAACCGGATGTAAAACATTGTTTTAATAATAATTTATTTCTTAATTTATTAATAATTTATTTCTTTAAATCACTTTTATGCCCCTAGGAAATGTACTTTAAGTAAAATGTACACATATAAACATAAAATTGCTTTATTTTTATTTATATATTCCGTTTGGCGCCCTTGCGATGATACTCTCTGAACTGGCTGCGATAGAAAAATATCGATAAGTATGAGCGTGATACACGCGTGATAGTGGCGGTAAAAATCGTCACCTCTAATTAGCGTCATTCGCTGATCCGGCAACTCCGCGAGAGCACGCGGCATAATTTCGCTTATATTTTGTTTGTCGTGGATATTAATTGGATTTCCAGCACATTTAATACATTGAAAATGAAACGATTAGCTGTGAGAGTGGACGAGGACACCGGGGAGTCTTTGGCCAAGAAGCAGTTGCAGTCCAAGGCCAATTCCCTGCTAAATGCCAAGAATGTGGACATCAAAACGCTCAAGACATTCGTACATTTGCTGGTGAGTTCTACAAATAATTAATAAACTATCTTATTAATTCGAATTATGTTCGCGCAGAAGGACACGCCCGAACATATGCCAGCTGGCGAGGTGATGAATACACTCGAGGTGATATTCAAGGTCCTGCTGAAGCGCCAGGTCATCGAAGGCAATGAGAGGCAGGTGCTCAAAATCCAGGAGCTATATGAGGAAACTTGGTTGCTCCTCATGGAGAATCTCCTGGTGGACTCGGAGTGTTCCGGTGCTCTAAAGGTGTGCATGCAGCTCATCAAGGTGGAGGCCAATCATCCAATAGCACCCAAGAAGGGTTGGCCCATCCACAGAATACGCGGAATACTGGAAACCCTAATAAATAGCGATGCGACGCCCACAATCGCGCTGACCAACTATGGGAAATACTGTAAAAACCTGGATGTATTGGCGATTACCCTTAAGCAATTGAAAGGTTTAGTGCCCAGTGAAGACTTCAAGAACAGTCCCATTAAGGCCATGAACTTCCTATCCATTGTGAACCTCTTAGACATGGGAAAGTCAGTACTGACCACGGCGGACTACCACGTGGAAAGTGCTAAAAATCAGAGTTTTGACTACGAGGTAAATCGCAAAAGACTGAATGATCTCTGGCTGACTATAATGGCCAAAGGCAACGAAGTGGACGAGAAGCTGCACCGTCAAATACTGGTGGTGCTTTTGGAACGCGTAATCAACCACCTGGACGATCCCATCCAGCTGACGGACTTCCTCATGGACTCCCTGCACCAGTTTGGTTGGTATTTTGTTTTAGAAACTCAACCGATCTTTTCTTACGACTGGTTTCCCACTTTTCAGATGGTCCCATTGCCTTGCTGGCTCTCCAGGGAATCTTCACGCTCATGCAAAAGCAGAACATCACCTATCCGGATGTGTATGAGAAGCTGTACAACATGTTCTATCCCCGGATGTTCTACAACAAGTACAAGGCACGCCTGTTTTACCTGGCCGATATCTTTCTGACCTCCACCCACTTGCCGGAGAATCTGGTGGCGGCATTCGTGAAGCGTCTCGCCCGCCTGGCCCTTCAATCGCCCACCGAAGACGCGGTTATTATGATTCGATTCGTTTGCAACCTGCTGTTGAGACATACTGGCTTGCAGAAATTGATTCGTGCCAGTCATGCAGCCGATGAGGTCAGCGATCCTTACAACGAATCGGAAACGGATCCCGTGAAATCGGAGGCCATCAACAGTTCGCTGTGGGAAATCACGCTGCTGCAGAAACACGTTGTACCAGAGGTGGCCAATGCGGCCCGGTTCATCAACTCCTCGCTGCCCGTAATGGAATTCGATTTAGCACCCCTCCTGGACAGGAAGGAGTGCAATGTAAGCGAAGAAGATGAATGAATCTTTTAATATTGATTAATCTACACATATTTCTCTTTTAGATTTTCGACGATGAATTACAATCGAAGGCGAAGCAATTTGCTCTGAACTACGAACGCCCAACCAATTTGGCTCTGCCCAAAAACCAATTCGTGACCAAGTACTGGGACCTCATCTAGATTAGTGTTACTATGCTAAATTTAAGCAGGATTAAAGTGCTGCCTGTTGTTGGGCTGCTGATGGGCCAACTCGGCCTGAAACCAATTGGCTGCTGAAATGTATCTGATGTTGCCAGGGGTCGCCATCTTCTTTAAGTTCATTTGATGCACCCTTGGCTGATTAAGTTGTCGAATCTCCGAGCAAGTGCGACAGGGACGAATCAAGGCAAAGTACACACACTCGGCAATGGAGAGAAAGCTGAAGCCGAGAAATAAACCCATAAGACCTCCAACGCCAGCTGCAGGATTGTTCGAATGTGTGCATTCTTGACTGAGAAACAGGTAATTGTTAACTTACATAGAAAATCGGAGAAACCGATGAACTCAGTCTGCTTGTTTGCTCGGAAAGTGGGATCCTTGAAGTACATATTCACCACCGCTACACTGCGCTCCACGTAGGAATCGGTGAAGTTCCAGCCGCCATGCGAAGATGTCTCCCTAAAGCCGTCGTGCGAGATTCTCGTTGAATAGGCAATTGCGGTGAAGGTGAGATCGAAGCACGACGGCAGGCACTCGTCTAGACAGGATTCCATCGCTATTATGGTTCTAAATCGAATAAGCTCCACACATTCCCTCTTGTGCAGCGGGCATATGGTATCGTTTGCGTTCAATCGGGGCATATAGAAGGTCACACAGCCGCAGTGGCGGATTAGCCAGCCGGAAAGGCATTCAGCCACGCAATTTCTCTGCGTGTAGTGGGCGAACCAGCGAAGTTTCAGCTCATTGTGGAATAAACAACGCCTGCTTCGGCGGTCCACATTGCGTAGGTGCTTCTCCGTAAGGATTTTGGACGGATCTATGCGCAGTTTGGTCTCCATTCCGGGTGCCAATAGGACTCCGGTCTCCCGGACATTCGGCGATTCATTCGGGCTGTGCAGGGCGATCTTGAAGCCAACGCTGCTGGACGAGGAGCAGTAGTAGGCATCCGCCTGGACATCCAGGGTCAGCGATAGTCCCAACGACTCCCCTGTTCCTTGGGCTCGTCGAGGGTATAGAGGATTATCCCCATCCGGCTGAAAGCCTCGCTTGCGATATCCCAACTCCGCATGCCAATTGACAGCATGGAATCCCTCAGGCAAACTTATATTCCGATGCGAGTAGGGAACTCTTCGGGGGAACAATTATCGAAAAAATCCAGCATGTGTTAGTAATCTGCTCCATTCTTATCAACCTTTTGAAAAGCTGATAGCAAGGACATAGCCTTGGTTTCGCAACTGACAAAAAGCGTGCTCCAAAGTTCTCATACACTTAGAAAAGGTTGGAGCCCAAAAGAGTGCTTCACAGTCAGCTTTTTCAAAAGCTTAATCTTACTGGGTGTAGTCGAAATATGAGAACTGAATATATCTTAAGCTTAAATGAGCATAGTGTTGCACACCTTTTCCGGTACATAAACCTGGGATGGAGCATATTAAAAACACAGCATAGACCTTCATCGGTCACGATGGGGTGAAATAAGCGTGCACATTCGTAATCATCGGCGCCAAAACGACACTGAATAATCATTGATTTGCAGGGCTGTGAGATCTGTATAATTAAAATATACCAGGTATTGTAGAATTACTCAAAAGCTAGTCTTTTAAAGGGCCAATAACATTCTTTTGTTTTGATCCAGGATTAAGGATTGTTAAAATACAGTTACCAGACTAGAAAACGCCCCTTACATTCAGTATAAACTCCTCCCAGCGGGAATCGTTGCTCTTCACCAAGTCCACGTCCACCTTCCGTCGACAGAGCAACTGCAGCATCGCGAACTCCACGGAGTCGTTGGTGAAGTGTTCCACTCTTTCAGTCAGAGCCTGATTTAAATTGCAGATTGTCACGGCCGGAAAGGGCTCATTGGCAATAGAAGTTAGCTCCGGATCGATGCCCACAATAACCGGGTTCGTGTTCCATTTATCGAAGGCGTCCTGTATTAAGTAAACGGCAAGCGATAGCACCACTAAAAGGGCTATTCCGAAAAAGAACCTTAAAGAGCCCAGTGAAGCTTCGCTTAAACGTATTTATTTTAGATATTCAATTATCAATA